ACACTGAAATTACAGATCAGCTTCTCAGGGACTAAATAATCAGCCTCTTGACACTCAAGCTAGTTCAAGGAAGAAGAAAAGATTTAGCCAGAAACCAAATAGAATTTCTATCTTTCATTTTTCTTTTTATTACTCTTCAGTTACAGAAGTCCATGAACATTAACTGAATTCACAAATTAAAGGGATGCTACTTCCAGCCCAAACATATCTTCTCAGGCACAAGAGTGCAAGAAAAGCAACTGTTCAATTATCCTCCCACTTATCTTTACAAAGCACTTTTAAAAATGTGAAATATTTTAATATTTTGACACATGGTAATTTGCTTTTTTGACCTTTTCATAGAAGCTGATGCATTTTGTCATCTTCTGTAGATGCTGCTCCTAGCAGCTGTCTATATATGATTTCTTAAAAATATATGGTTGTTGGGGCTTTTTAAGGAATTTTAAAGATATTTTAAAACAATATTACAAAAGGTTACCATGAAAATACATAAGCCTTTTTATTTTCATATCTTGAAGAAGTATTTTTCTTTCAAGGCATGGACCAAAATATATTTAAACACATAATTTCAGACAAATTCTGTATGATAGTACTATAGTTGTAAACTCCAGCTACCACAGGAGCATTATCGAACTCCTGCGAAAGCTTCTCTGAACGCAACAGGTTTTAAACTGCTATTAAAGGTTTCGGAAATGTGCCGATTCATAATATATTATACCAATAAAAACAACCCTCCAAGATTCAGTAGGCTTGCATAGATAAAAAACAAACAAACAAACAAAAAAACCCCGCCAAAAACAAACAAACAAAAACAAAACCGCAAAAAAAGAAACCTTATCACCTTATCACACACACACCCACCTCACACCAAAATCCATAAAAGCAGTCACAAAACCAGGAGGCATTCAGCAGACCAGTCTGACAAGGGCTTTCAAAATCACTTTGAATCACTGCCCCTTGCACCTTGCTCTAGCTTTCAGAAAATACCAAGGTGAATCTGTGTCAAAGGCTTAACTACATTTTTTTAAAATACAGAACAAGATGCGTATATTTAAAAGCATAACTCCCCAGCAGTTCAAATGATTTTTAATTACTCAGTAGTTGGTGCAAATGCTTTCAGTAAATCAGTCTGGTTATTCTTCTCACCTTGGTCAAAAGAGGTAACAAAGCTTTGGGTACCAGCACTGGCAGGTATAACCCCCCATATTCAAGCCCATCTGGCACACAGTCCAAGCACAGAGCTATGTAATCCATCCTCATTCCATGACCCAGGGTGCATTTCTCAGATGCAGGAGGACACCTGCACGCTGGTCACAGGAAAGAGCAGCTCCGGCCATGTGATGAGAGCACCATCCTGCAACCTCTGGGATCCACCAAGCATCCACCATCAGGCAAACCTGAACTCAGCTATTAAAACACAGAGGTTTTAAAGGCTTGGATTTTAAAACCTTGGAAGGTTGCCACCTATTGAGATGGAGAAAGAGAGCACAAAAGATATCCCAAGCTACCTTCCTTGCGTATCAAGCGCTTGGTAGATACACTTTGCGATTAATTCCTGCCATCCAGGACTGCATCAACATCCCTATTCCAATTGTTGAAGACAGATAACTGCATCATCTCCTGCATGAAGTGGGTTCTGCTTTCAGGAAAGCAAAGCAGCCAGTGCTATATTATTAGCTAAATCCTTCAGAAATAAGTACATCATAACCATGGGATGAGCAGAGCAGAGCCACACACATGAGCTAGCACAGTTTTTTCTCTATTACCCTAAAAAAAAGAGTATGGGAGAGGAATTATGTAGTATCGGACCTTGCTTTAAGACAGGCATTACTTCAAGTAGTAAATACCCTTAAAAGGTTTGTGCTTCTTCAAAAAAAAAAAAAGTTAAAAAAAAAAAATGAGCTGAGCTGACACACCTAACTTCATTCTACTATCCTGAAATTACGCTGCCAATGCACTGCTGAATCACAGGTCTGAAATAACAGTGGGTGTGGGAAACCAAAGGACAGATAAAACAGTCTTTAAACCCATCTATCAGCCAACACTCGGGCCCTCTCCAGAAGCAGTAGAACCTGATAACACGCATTGTTGAGAGGCCAGCTAAGTGTCACCCTGTAAAACCCAGCTTCTTCAACCTGCCGTTCCGAGATGGCCATCACAATAGTCATGAGAGCTGAGACAACGCTGGAACACATTTTATCTCCCTGCATAGCTACCTCCAATTACTCGAAAAATCACCATTTCCCCCAGCCCCTGTTGCTGAACCCTGTGTAAGGGATACTGGCCAAGGGAAGGGTCTGGCAGCACAAGGGCCACCTGGGAAGCTTTTCCTTCAGGAGGAAAATCCATACTCGTGTGCACTAGCACTGTAGCACAGTGTAGTACAGTACTGCCTGGAGTACAGGGAGTCCTGCAACACAATGCGCCTTAGTTCTTCAGCAGCAAACTGCCTGACAAGAAAAGGACTTGACTGGACAGAAATACAGATGGGACAAAACAAGAATGTCCTTTTCCTTAACTTCCCAGGCCGTTTACCTTTATTCAAATGCTTTAGTCCTAATATGACCATTACCTATAACCTCCACACACCTAGCAATGTCAGAGAAGCACGCAAGAGATGTGAGCAAGAATAACATGATTAAATATTTGCTCCAGGAAATAAATTACAAGTTTTAATTAGGAGTCAAGATGACCAGTAGAGATGAAAGAAAAAACTCCTCTGGACGCGATGCAGCTGCTTTTACTACACAATAAGCTAAAGATAGCTTCAGTGGGAAACAGGCTGTTTGTAGTTAGAGCATTTATTAATACAAACCTACATGTCCAAGTGCTGCTGAAGTTTGACACACGCTTCCTGTATGACAGTAAGAAAACATCTGATGAACAATGTTGGGAACCACAGTTCTGAATAAAGTATGCTGATGACTCAGGCATCTCTTGTAAAACCCAATATATTTCTGCTTCTATGTGGTTTCTTCAAGCTAACAGAAAATAATCATAACAAACTTTGAGGTCTCCAGAACAAACTCTCATTATTTGCGGAGCTTGGGATTTTCCTCTTTTGAGGGAAGAGGGTGAGTTAGTGGTATGGTAGCTTCTCCACTTTTCTTCCATCCGTCAACCCACTAAACCTTCAAAATTTTTCTTCTTACATTCAAATAACCTGAACAATGTAAAAAATTGTAACCCAATTAGCTACTCATTAGTCTCAATAAGCCACGAGATACTCACTTTGGAATCAAACAATACTTTTTTGAAAAGTACCCTCAAGATTTGCTTTCTCCTCACTACAGCATGCACTTTGGCATAAAATAGAAAGTCTCTGCCATGAAAAAACCCTTATTTTACACAGTGTCTCTAGATACTTAAGAGAAGTGACCACCACCTATAGATGCTGACTACAACTTCAGAATTATTGCTAACTTCATTTTCTACTGCAGGTTGTGTTACCCGGCATCTGCCACAACCCATATTCAATCACCTTTAAGCTTATCTTTGATTTGAAACTAAAGTAACCCTGAGCTACTGACCCACAAGCAGTTCAGCTGGAAACCGCAAGGTTTCTTCTAGTTCAGCTGAAAACTAACATTTCTCCTTCAAGATTATTAACAGAACGGGCAAATAGGCAGCTTTGAACAGTGTGCAGGAGGGACTATGCAACTGAGTATCTGATTAGACAATTGCGAGGTATTCAGTAAACCATTAGAAACAGATTTTATAAAAGGTAAACTTGCTCACAAAAGTTGTCAGATGTGCAGCAGCAACAAAGTTTTCAGACACAGAAGGTACACGTAGCAGTAAATCTGCTACATTAACCTGCGAGCACACCCTAACTGAAAACACTTGACTGAGGAACAAAATCAGTCCGAGCAGCCTTTGCCTTCCTGCTGAAGCAGCCAAAAATCAGTGCTAACTACTTCCAACTACGATAGCAGTCCTTGCCAGACACGCCTCTCTCTCCAAATGAGCTTCTTGAATGCGAGTTGTACCACTTTAACCAATTACACCTTAATCAGCACATTCCCACTGTCCACTCTTACGACTGCAGCCATTTAACTTCAACACTGACTACACCAAAGCACAAATACCTTTATCCTCTTATAAAAGCAGCATATGCCATTAAATAAATAAATAAATATCAGGGAAGAGGGCAGCCGTCATATCACTAAACAGAAGAGTTGTGTTAACCAGCAAGTTACCTTTAAAGCCTAAAAAGCATTGTTTAAAAAGCACTGAAATTTAATTTTAGATATTTCTCATCACGGTTCAGTTCACTTAAAGGGACGAAGAGCTTTAAAAGGCATCCTTTTCTCTCTCCTTTTTTTTTTTTTTTTTTTTTTTTTTTTTTTTTTTTTTTTTTTTTTTTTTTTTTTTTTTTTTTTTTTTTTTTTTTTTTTTTTTGACAGAGAAACATTCCCCGCCAAGTCCTGGTGTGCAGCGAGAGACCCGTAAGCGCCGTCATTCCCTTAGCCCCGTTCCGCGATGAGCGTTAACACGAGTCCCCAAACGCGGCACTTTCCCACTCCAGCGGGAGAGCGTCACCGGCTGGAAATAGCGTTCACCTTTGGCGAGCGCGGATGCCGCGCCGCAGGGTCACGCCGGGCGTGAGCAGCATCTCCCCGCGGGGAGCTCGCCCGGGACCCCGCGCTGCCCCGGGGCACGTCCCGCTCGCCCCCAGCGCTGCCGCCCCGCCCGGCCCCCTGCGAGCGCAACAGGCCCGCCCCGGGCCCCGCGGAGCGCGGGGTGCCCCCAGCCAGCAGCGCCGAGCCCGCGGCCGGGCTGACCCGCGGCCCCCGCTGCGGCTCCGCGGCCGCCGGAGCGGCGGGGCCTGGGAGAGGCCGCGGCGCGGGGAAGGCCCGGGAGCGGCTCGGCAGGGGCGGCTGCGCCCCCGGTGCGGGGGGAGCGGCGGGGCCGGGGCGGGCGCGGCCAGGCCCGGGCGCAGCGCGGACGCGGAGCGGGGCGCTCGGCGGCCCCGGGGCCGAGCCCCGGCGGGGTCTCACCTTGGCGGCGCCGCCGGGCTGCAGCACGTTCTGTTCCACCGTCATGGCCCCCGCGCGGCTCCCGGCGGCGCCCCGGGCTCGGCGGGCGGCGGCGGCGCCGTGCGGCGGCGGCTGGGCCGGGCCCGGGCTGGGCGAGCGGGGCGGGAGGCGGGGCGGGAGGGGGAGCCCGAGTCACCGCCCGGCGGGCGCAGCGCGGCCCCGCTCCGGCCCCGCTGTCACTCCCGGAGCGCCGAGCACCGCCCCCGGCCCGGCAGCGGCGCCGCCCCGCGCACCTGCCCCGAGCGCAGCCCCCGCCCGGCCCCGGCCCGGCCCCGCCCCGCCCCGCCGCACCGCCCGCCTCCATCTTGGGAGCTCCCGGCGGGAGCGCCCGTGGCCGCCCCGCTCCACCCCCGGCCAGGGCTCTGCTCTCCCCGCCCGGGGCAGGGCCGGCCCCGGCGAGGGCCAAGTTTGCCCCGCTCCGAGAGCGGCGCAGAGCTGCGTTTCGGCTGCGAGAACCCGCCGCTTTCCGTGGGATAGGCGGGGAATTTCTGAGCGGTTCCAGCGCTGTCGCCGCTCGCAGCGACGACAAACCGCAGCACCAAATGATCCACGGAATCGCAGGATTGTTGGGGTCGGAAGGGGCCTCTGGAGATCATGCAGCCCGGCCCCTCTGCCAGGGCAGGGTCACCTGGGGCAGGTGATACAGGAACACGTCCTGGTGGGTTTGGATTGTCTCCAGAGAGGGAGACTCCACGCGCTCCCTGGGCAGTTCCAGGGCTCTGCCACCCTCGGTGTAAAGAAGCTCTTCCTCGTGTTTTATGTATCCTCATTGAGGAGGAACTTCTTGTCTTTTGGTTTATCGCCATTGCTCCTCATCCTGTCTCTGGGCACTGCTGAAAAGAGTCTGGAACCACTCTCTTGGAACCCACCTTTGAGTTACTTATATGCATTAATGAGATCCCCTCTCAGTCTTCTCAAGACTAAACGGGCCCAGCTCCTGCAGTCTCTGCTCATAAGAGAGATGCTCCAGACCCCTCATTATCTTTGTGGCCTCCACTGGACCCTTCCCAGTAAGCTCCTCATCTTTCTTTTACTGAGGAGCCCAAGGCTGAACATAGTAATGCTGCAACTTAAAAGTTGCAGGTTTTCCCTCTCCCTGCTGCCGTTTAGCTGGGTTTGACTGGGTAAGCCTGGGTTTGAGTGAGTGAGCAGTGAAGAGATGGTATTCAGCGTTCAAAATGAACGGGAACATCCTTAACAATTGCTGACTAAAGTATGGGTAGGGTAGCAGGTTTCAGCAATGAATTCACAGTGAATTTTGGCACCACAGATAAATGGTATTGGGCAAAAGATTGTCTCTCTGTCACCCTGCCCTGGAGGGTCAAGGAAAGGGCAGCAAAGGACTCAGCTTTGGGCATCAGCACAAGCAGGGGAAAGCCCACGAGGTACTGAGCCGGCTGAAATGCATTCGATCAGACACAGGTGAAGGGCAGCAGGGGAGCCCACATTTTGAGTGCCTGCTCAGTGTACAGTACCTGTGTCCCAGTTACATTTCTAAGGCTGGTGAAGCTTGGTCTGTAGGAAAAGCTGAGGAGAGCAGCATGGTTCTGAGAGCCCCAAGTACATAAAAACACGAGCCGGGGGCCTAATGCAGCAAAATGAATTGTGGATACTGCCCCTCTGTCACAGAGAGCCTCAGCATTTACGACACTATAATTCAATTCACTTCTCTCCCCACAGTAAAGTATGAATCTTTTTAAAACTGAGACCATCAGGTAATAACATCACTGCAGGATCTTGTCACAGCTCGTGACAACCTACAACTGCTGCCTTATTTCACTGTAGCTTATGTGCAGGAGATGTTGCAATTTGATCAATATTTGCTCTTCTCAGGTTTGCTGCTCATAGATTGTATCAGTTTTAATGGTTTTGCCTTTTATGCTGCAATATGAGAGGCGATTTTTAAAATTAATGTTCCCAAATAATTTTTTGGGCAAAAGACAAGAAACTATGCAGATAATATAATGAAATCAGAAATAGCTTGCAAATTACTTTTTTGGAGATAAGAGCAGAAATTCTCTCTGCTCATACTGATGGCTATGTGTAAGAGAGACAACAGTAGTAGTTTAGGGTTTTTATTAAAAAAAGTTTTCTGTAGCACTGTTGTACAGGAGTGATGGTCCAATTCCCCTGTCATCTTCCATATAATTATGCTTTTTCTCATACAGTTTTACTGCTTTTATACTGTGTTTTTGACTTGTAGTGTGTGCAGATAATTTTCATCAAAGCTATTATTTATATTACTTGAAATTAATATAAATGAAACTTTTAAATGAAATACATTTGCCTTGCAATATTTTTTCAAGTGTTTTCACTGTTTAATTTAATAGGTTCCCTGACAAATAAAATGTGTCCAAAAAGAAAGTGTCGGAAAGAAATTATACGTTTTGTTCAATTCTCTTCAAATCAGGATAGGATGACAGAGCATCATCTTCCATTTAATCCCCCTCCCCCAACAAAATGATCACTTTTAAGGGCTCTCCGCTTCCTCAGTTTCTTTAAAATAAAAAAAATGGCTGAGCAATCCACTCCCGAGACAGGGATTTGCCATTGAAATACATAATCTGAACCACAGCCATGGAAATTGGGGGTCTGTCATACATATGGTGTTGCTGGACACCAGATGGAGCAGAGTTTCTTGTTCCATTTGCAGCACAAGCTCTACATGAAGTACACTGAGCACAAGACTGGAATTTGTACCTCATCGGAAAACACTGATGGTTTTGTCAGGGCCACAGTCTAGAAAGAGCTCTTGATGGCATTGGTATTCTTTAGTGTCTATAATAAATTAAGGAACTGTTGTTTCAGTAGAAATTTAAAAGGTAGATTGCTTGGTTTCAGCCTCCCTTCCTTTTCAAATCCTGGTAAGTGGAGCCCAGGTGAATTTTGTGCTAACCCAGCGGAGAACTCAGCACTGTAACTCAAGGTCCAAAAGCTGTCACACCTGCACTGGCACAGCACAGAAAGAACCATACAAGCAACTTGTTTTTTTTTTTACTTACGTAATATTGCATTAAGCTCCTACAGAGCAATATCTGTATTGTTTCTGAGACATGCTACCTTAACAAAAGCCCACAGTCTTAGATTTCTGAGCTCCTGTTGCCAGTCTGCAGTGATCATTTAGCTGTCAGGCTTGCAGAGCTGCAACCATTTTCCTGCTAGTTTTATTGATGGTACTTGTGCACAGAAAGCGAAGTGATCAGAGGCTGCAGCATCACATTTGCCTATGGGTCTCAAGAGCTGAAATGTATTTCTCTTTTTTTATCCCTTCCTGTTGCTTATATTGTTGCTTGGGCAATGTACCTTAATGTGCCTTTAATATCTTAAATAGTATAAGGCGTATGTATATATATTTTCCCCCTGAAGTTTATGGTATTTCCACTTAGTTGCTCCTCACATTTTAACAATTACAGGGTTTGGTTGTTAAACATTTGGTGACACGTTGTACAACCTCTGCCTCCAGCTGCAAGGCTTCCCCGTTTGCACATTCTCCTCACCAGCAGTGCCGGAGATGTGATTCACCTGAAACACAAGCGCAGCCTCCCCTCCCCCTTAAACTGGTTGTTTTGTTCAGCTAGATCAGTTCCCCAAAATGGTTCACTGACTGGCTGCTGGAACAGCTGCGCTGGCCCGAAAGAGAGGGTGACACAGGCTCAGCAATGGTACCAGTCAAGTTTCATTTCACCTATTTGGTGTATCAGTAAGCGATCATGCCTTCCTGACCTGCAGCCTGCCTGTTGGAGGCAAACCCTGTGCCTGCTCACAGGGCTTCTCATCTTCCCATTTTTTTAAAGAACAACCAAAACATCAGCCAACCACAAAACACTTTAGCACATGTTTTATTGTATACAAAGATCATGTACAACAAGAAATAGCTCATTATTTTCCTCCCTTTTCAATAGGCTTGGTTTTGTCTTTAATTAAGTACAACATTTATTTAGGGCTTTAATTAGACTCTGGCTGCATTTTTTACAGCTGGGGAAGTACAAGTCAAGACTTCTTGGGGTTTTTTTCCCCCAAAACGTGTAACCTGCTATGTTTGGGGTGAGAAAGCACTGCTTTAAAAGGGGCCATAAATGCTACAAACACACAGCTTCTGTAGTTAACCCTAGAGAAAAGCTGCCTTGGGTTCACATTTTTAAAACCCATCTTGGAACACTTTCACTTAGGCCTTTTGGCTCTGCAGTAAATAGTTCAGACACCTGACACAAAACCACAGCCACTCAAGAAGCTTGTAAAGCATCACACCTTTTAAATTATCATTTGGCAATTACTCTGTGTCACTGATAACCATTTGAACATTGCTTTGGCACCTGCAAAATCTCCTGCTGCTTATTCCCCAAGGGAACCGAAACTAAAACTAACCCAAGCTGTAACTCAGGAAAAGAGAGGTATCGTCATCTGAAAGCCTTCTGAAAATCAAAAAGTAAAACTAACATGATGTGAATGTAGTTTTTGTTGATGTACAAAGCACAACATCATTTTCCCTTGTTTTCGGATCTTAACTGAAGGTCCCTAACCTTCCAGTTGCTTCCTGATGCCAGATATCTATTATTATTTCTAAAAGTCAGGTGCTACATTCAAAATAAAAATTCTGAGATTTAGATTACTAAGTTTGTGTAACTGCAGCTTAATACCACAGAAATTATGGTTTTTTGACAACCTAGTTAAAGTGCCATTTTTACCTTAGCCATCTTCACATTTTACTTACTTTCTTGACCACACTTGCACATTGATCATTTTATTTCACACAGCTTTCCCGGGAGGCCATAAGGTTTTTTCTTATGTGGCTGAAAGTAATTTAGAGCTCAGCAATGACTACTTGTCCTTCCAACAGACAGTACCCACCGTTTTTCAAGTAGTAGAAAGTTACAGAATTTTTCCCAAAATACTTCTTTCTGTCATTGCCCACTTAAATGAGCACGTTTCACAACAAAGCACTATGTCTACTGAATCTACTTTTAAGTAAAATAATAAATAACGTCCCCTGCGGTTTACACTTCACCTAATGATTACTTCTAATGTTTATTTTGCAACTATTTCAGCTCA